TGGCCGCGACTCGTCGAACCGGGTGTTTCTCCTCTCCGCTCCTCTTTCCATCCTGTTCATCGCCACGCCGCACACAGTGTGTTAAAACGGCTGTCTCGCCGGGAACACTCATAATTCTTATTACTTTCTATCGTTTAATACTTTTGCTCTTTCTAAGTTTCTAAATACTTAAGGATCGCCTGTAAAAGCATCATTTAGCGATCCATGTTTTTTCCTTTGTAAGAGGCAATATTTTATGTAAATTGGCGTGCTTAAACGGTTGTCACAGCGGGGAAATTCATAACTCTTGTCATTTCCTGTTATCTTATTCTTTCGCCTTTTTCAAAGTTTCTAAGTTTTCCAGGACTTTCAATCGAATATTACACGGGAAAATTATTCTCTTCTACAGGGAGGGAACAGAATGTGATTCAATCGCAGGTTTATCGTTGCTAGTAATAATAGACAGGAATAATCCTGGATATGGATAAGAGTCACTGTAACTCATGCAGTTAATTACCAAAGGGTTCTTAGTCTGCGGAGTATTCTCGATGATCGTTTCGTAGTTAGACAACCGTTTTAACACGCTTTACGCGATATTTCCGCGATTTCACGACGAGACCACGTTTGTTATCCTTAACACGTTGACTGCCGCGCAATGTTTCCTATGAAATCTCCTTCGGACCACGAGTGTGGTACAGATTATTCCGACCAAATGTTTTCTTATGCCACTACAATTGGAAAAGGAATCAAATGGCACCGAAAACTTGGCATTCGACTCCTTCTGGGAATTTTTGTTGTAAACGCTTTGACGGTTTAAAAATTGCAACAAGGAAGGATGTAAATATTAGAAAATTTAGAGAATTATTAGCTGCAAAATTATCAGGGTTGTCTGAAAATACAAAAAATCCTTGTCTTCGAGTCAGCATAATATCGTCGTTCGGAAAAATGCAGTAGACGCGCATGTAAACTATGTTATACAGATAAAAGAACGTACTGATCAAAGACGCGAGAGAATTTAAAGAAAACGACAACTTATTGTTCAAATTATCCCCACTAACCTCAGCTTTGTACACAATGCTTTAGAGTTTTACATTCTAAATAATTTGATTAATAAACCATTTTCGTATTACTTTTATAACAATTCAATAGTTGTACTACTCCCTGTGGGAAATCTTTTCAAATACCTACGACGATCCTTCGCAAATAGTCAAATAAGCGTCACCTGAATACGGATGACGCGGCCCTATGAGAAACTTTGCTGTCATCCGAATATGGATGACGCAGCAGTCAACGCGTTAAAACGTCGTCTCTCGTCTCCGATCGTTCGCATCCTTCTCTTTCTCCTTCTCTTCCCCTTTTGTAATTTTCGTGCAAGTTTCTAAAAGATGTTCGACCGCTTTTTTGTCACCTGGACGTTAATGTCCCTGTAATTATTGTGTGGCACGTTGAGCCACGCGCGTGACTGCTAATTGGGAACAACGGTAATTGAGTTAATAACGAGCGATCGTGAAACGAGCAGGCCTTTCTTGGTTCACTCGCTGCCTCTGCGCCGGTTCTTAAGGGTAACTTCAGCTTCGAACGATACAGTGGTTTGGTTAAACAGTTAGGATAAAAAATTGCTAAAAATCGGACGAAAAAGGTGACCACCTATTGTTCAGATTGTATCGATGAGCCACATTTGTGTTTAAAGTGTTCTAACACAGTGCACTGTTAGATGCAAGATTTCTTCTCATTTTTTTTTATCGAAGTTCTAATAAAAATGTCTAATTGTTCAATGGGGCACTTTTTATTTCAAAGTATCTTCTATTTGTTTTATTTCAAAGTATCTTCTATTTGATTTGTCGGTTATATTCAAAATGCCCCAACTGTCAATTTTCATTCAATTTTTGCAATCGTAAGAAGCTGAAGCGCTCCGGTTACCAATGACCACCATGGCGTCACAGGAGAAACCATGGCCGGTGATATGTGACCAACGTGGTAGTCAAAGTGTTAATAATGGATACGCGAATTCGAAGAATACGAGTGGGACAATAGATGTTAGAAATTTTTGTATGACAGTCTGTATTTTTAATTTAATCGGAGACTGTTTCGATCGATGTTTCGTACTTCTAAAGCAACTTCATACTTTTATAACGTTTATGAGGGTATTTAGAAAATTTTACGAGCTTCAGATTAGCATCTTATTACTGTCTTAATTACCGGCACGAGATCCAACACAGACAATCTAGATGAATAGCCAGTCCACCGCTATTTCTACGAAAAAGAGCGAACGTTGTTTCCAATAAATAATTTTGTATACCAGCGTTTGAATAGTTTCGTATTTACAGAACGATTCTTCGCGAAATTGTTCAAATTTCCTGGCTTTTCGTCGGCCGCGTTCGTACGTGCCTGAAATTCGCGACGGTGCAACGCGATCGCTTTAAAGATTAACCTATCTGCCGCTTATCGTCGCGGAGGACTTTAAAATACGCGCGTCGGCCGGTTGCGCAACTAAAGTTCGCCGATTTCGGAAAGGACGCGCGCGATTAAACGCTTATACGGCGAGATACGTCCTTCGCGGAAGAGGCACGGTCCTCGTGCTCGATAACCAACGCGATAGATTAAAAATAATTGACGTCACCAGACGATTTTTCTTATCTCTTCGTATCCAGCAAGCGCGTACGAACGTTTTTCTTTTTGGTTTCTTCGTTCGCATAATTCCCTCTTTACCTTGAATACACGTGAAAAATTTGTCGTTGTAAGAGTCAGTTTTATCGTCGGGATATCTCGCAAGCAGCATAGAGAAAATTGTTTTACCTTTTTGGATATCGGTGCGTCATCGCCGACTCGTTATTACTGGTTCCTGGTTGCAGCAACTCTTTCCGTCTGCGAACTAAGAATTCGCCTCGATCGCCGAGGGATCGGCGAATCGTTGGTTTCTTGCTTTTCTTGCATTTGCTGTATGGAATATACGATTAAACTAAGATTTAACGGAATTTTAATGGAGAGCAAGGGTTATTGAATTTTCTATTGGTAACGCGAAACGATTAGGTAAATGGTAAATTGTAGTACGAATTAGGAATTCGTCGATGGAAAGTTAATTGGAGAAATGTTTGTCGCCAGCTATCCTGCGTACTAGCAGCTACTCGATAATGTACATTGGTAAACTTCAAATAAAACGAGTAGATGCAACGTACGATAATGTAGTATCGTGGACGAAAGGCCTAAGAGATATCGGACGAATCATAAACAAGTGGTTGCAGATCATGTGTATGGTGGAGGTAAGACAAAAGACAAGGGGTTGTTAAGGGACAAAAACGAATTAACACGTCGGTCGCCACGTTACCCATATCTATGTGACGGGGTGCTTTCATGGGGGTTCCGTAACCCAAATATGGGTGACGCTCTTCTTGTTCGAGTTAATTAAATATAGGATATTATATATAGGATATACAACATAAAAATATTAAAAACACATCATACCATATTTTTTATTCATTTATATTCTGGATAAAATATTACATTATGTTATGTCGCATGGTATTCGTTAAAACATTCCAAACACATTTGGGGTGATTTGGACCCTTCGAACAATATATTTTATATTCTTATAGTTTTTCTCGCTTCTTGGCGTGCGACAATTTGCCTCTTCTTCTCGTAACATAGGGTGCACATCCTTCTCATAGGCTTGCCCTGCTGATTCTTACGAATCTCCTTCTTCGTTTTTTCCGATGGTTGTCGGGCACAGTATTTTCTGAGGACACATCGGACCATTCGGAAACGAGAATTTCCCGAAATTTTCTTATCCGTATTTTTTTGTTTGTGGCTGTTTGGTACGCAATATGAGCATTTACTATAACTGTTCCTAAGAGTAAATGCTAATTTCCGATACCGCTTGATGCTTTTGCATATCGTAGTGGCATACGAGACCATCTGGTCACTTCTGCCGATACCAGTTTTTCCATTATTCTATATTACTCTCCTCACTTTCAAATATATCTTCATGCTGTCTACTGGACATTTTGACGATGAAAAAATCACTGATGTGCGTCTCACAAGAAGTATGCTTCTCGACTAAATGAAAGATCTGGGATATCTGCCACGAGATCTCTCGGAATACTCTAACCGAAAAGCGTACCGACAGTCGGATTTGGGTCCGGCGGGAAACTTAGCCGAATACGATGGGCGACCAACGTGTTAACAGTCATTGTGAGTTGAGAAGTCGGAGAGTGGGAATTGCATTGTCGAGAGAGTGTTGCTAGTGTCACACGCTCAAGAAGGCCACCCGCTCAGAAACAGTAATAGGATAGGCTAGACATTCTGCATACCACAGGCATCGAAACAATAACCAAATAGTAACGGGATAGGCGTCTTTGAGATACACCAGACGACAACCCCTCCAGAGGGACTAAAATCTCAGTATAAAAGCCCTCCAAAATAAGCGCTCGCCCCAGTCTCTTGTAACACTTTGAATCATTCTGTTGTAACACCTTGAATCGTCACTCTGTTGGATTTGCATAATAAATCCTATTATCATATAGAAAGTTCAATTTCTTCACCTTATTCGTGGAACGTTCAAACTGCAACGCGAAGAGATCACCGGCGATCTATCGGTTTCGTGATTTCTTGTGTCTCCTACGTGACACTAACGTTGTCGAGAGAGCGTTGGATCCGTGGTAACGAGATTGCAAATTAACTATCTAGTTGTCTTAATTATAATACGTTATTGTGATTAGTTCACGTTAAAAAACCACGGTTTTCTGTTTAACCAATATCAGTTTGATCCATTTATTGTAAATAAACCAATTGTATTATAAGATCCTGCAATAACACATCTTTTATATTTCCACTTATTCGTAAGTTTCTGAACATATCGTCCACCTGATTAAACCAATCACCATACCAATTACGGGATGAGCACATTTTTCAAATACGCGATTCTATACCTTTTCTACGAGAAACGAAACAGACGTTGATAGTACAAGGGACAGTCGTACGAGAAATATATCGAATTCTGAGTTGAATCGCGCAAAGGTAATAAATGTTAGCGTGAAAATTATTTCTCACTCTCAGCTTTCGCTTCCGTTGAATCTGTTTTACAACGCGAGGCGTGAACAGGTCGAAACGCTATCACCTGCCTTCCTTAATATCTCGATTATTTTTCGTTGAAAAAGCAACGTCGCGAGATACCGAATCCTCTTCGTGGCAAGGTACAGGAGAAGGCTGGATCTTCGCTTGTATCGCGGCGGTAATCGACGATGCCAGGGATAAAAGGCACCCCGTGGAGAGGCAGCAATCACCCCCCGCCGAGCGTAGCCGTCAAATTAATAACCAATGATTTTATACGATGTTTTATTGAATCGTGTTGCCCGTAAGCAATATCTGCGCGCAGCATCGGCTCGTTTCGCCTGGACACGGGGGTTAAAACCATTCTGGGGGAGGATCGTTTCGTACGGTTCGATTGCCGCGTTCTTCAAGTTCCTGCTGTAATCGTCGTCGAAGCGTTAAATATCGAATCCTTCGCTTATTAATCCTTTTCAGCAGATCGTGCCGTTGTCTCTTCTCGATGGTGATATTCATCTTTTAACGTTTTCCTCGCCTCGTTTCCTTTTCTGACTACACGACGTTTCCGTCTGTGTACTTTCGTGCGATCGGGATTTGTTGAATCCGCTTATCAGTTTGCCTTGCTACTGTGTTTCGTATTTTTGCAGGTTTCGTCACAGCTTTGTCAAAGATTGTTATTCATGTAAAATGATGTTACATGTAAAATAGTAGTTTCTATACAAAATTCAACTGTATCTATTTTGTACAATTTTCACTGGCAAATAAAAAACTGTTAAAACAAACAGATAATGAAAAAGCGATAATGAGAAGTGTTAAGAACGAAATTATAAGAAAGTTTGTAAGATCTGAGCCGATTCAAGACCCTAAAGCATCGCTTAAGTGTTAAATGGTGGGAGTATTTGAAAATGTCTGAAGAGAAGATAGAAATAAGCAGAAGATACGAGCGTAACGATCGGATACCACCTGCCACCGTGTTCCGTACGATTTATATAAAGACAGCTTGTGTGGAGGAGAAAGAAAAAAGGAGAGAGAGCGGTCGAACGCGGAACGGTTAATTACGTTTCTCGGAATCGGTTATAGCCAGGGCAGGAAAGGAATTCAATTGGCCGGGTGAAGATTCCCGAAATCTCGTGCTCGAATCTATCGGTTACAAAGGGGCACGCTTCCCTCCCTGACCGGATCCTGAAGGAAGGCACAAAAGCGAAGTCGCAAATTCCGTCGTGGCCGGTTACCCGCGAACAGTCGTTGCGGCTATCAGTGTCGATCGGCCGCTGGTGTGTGCAATGAGCGGGTGACGTGAAAGGGAAGAGGAAGAAGAACTAGAGGAAGCAAACGGCGAAGACGAAAAGACGGAGAAGCAAGAAGAACGCTGTACGTGTTACACGTACGTATACGTTTGTCTGTACGTACGTGTGGATGGCAGGAAAGCAAGGGAAAGAAGAAGAAGAAGACGAGAAAAGGCGAACGAAGAAGCAAGAAGGAAGAAGAAAGAGACAAGAAGAAGCAAAGAGAAGAGGAAGGTCCATCAGCGTCCCTTATCTTCCTCGCCTGGGTCCCTTATTCCGCGCAAACGCATGAATCCACGACCGCCGCAAATGTCTCTCCCCTTGTGTTCTCTATCCCTCTTGTTTTCCCTGTTCGCCAACTTGTTCCACCTCGTCGAGTCTCTCCTCGCCATCGGTCCACCTTCTTTTTCCTTCTCCCTCCCCTCGTGTCCTCTTTGCGAAGAAACGCACGAGAGACAACTATCGCGGCGTTGATCTCGTCTAGTTAGCCCTTCTCTTCTCTCGATCCTCCTCCGTTCAACCCGCCTTCTCTGTTCATCACCCTTTTCCTTTTCTCTATCTCGTTCTCCCTCCCCCTCGTTCTATCTTCCTTTTACTATAGTTACGTCTGTTCTTCTTTCACTCGCGTTTCTTCTTCCTTTTCTTCTCCCCTTCTTCCTCCTCGTCTTCTTGCCTCGTTGGTATATACGTTCGTCGTCGATCGGCGCGCGGCGCGGGTTCGGTTGCTCGCAAGGAGAGAAGAAGAAGAGGAAGAAGGCCGTGTGTGTACTCGTTTCGTGCGCCCTGCATCGTCCTTCCTGCCTTAACCGCGGCGCGAGAGGAACCGATACAGGCGTTCTCTCGACTCAGCTCATAAATACAGCGGAGGAAGAGGCGGCTGCTGGAGGCTGTGCGGCACCAGAGAGACACCAGGGGAGGAAGGACGAAGGGCGAGCCTACAAATTGCTACACCGCATTGTGGTGTCACTCCAGCCTGTTACGACACGGCCCTGGCATCGTTGGAATGGTGTCTGCGAGTTCTCCTCTTCTCTCCCTTATCCCGTCCGCGTGTGTTAGGCCTCCTTCCCGAGCCTTCCTTCCGCTGGCCCTCTCCGCTACGGTGTCAACCAGCCTTCGTACCAGCTTTACACGCGTGTAAACGCGGCTTTACGCCGATAACCGCGATGTACCTTCCGATGCTGGACACACACAACTGGCCTCTTTTTCCTTTTGCCTTGATTTCTCCTTTATCTCTTCCTCTCTTTCGTTTTCCCTGTTCTGCCTTTCTCTTCCTTTCGCTCTTTCCTCTTCTCTCTCCCTCTCACCCACCCTCTTCTTTTCATCGTTGTATTCAAGCCTCGTGACCGGGCGCGTTTGTTCCGAGAATTTTTTGATAGTCTACCCTCGATAAGGTTTAATAGATTCGTGGTGGGAACATGCTTGATGCGGCCGACATGTGTTTCGTGTTAAGTGAAGAGCTCGCGTCGAGCCTCTCTCTGTCTTTCTTCTCTCCTCTACTGTTTTCGGGGGTTAGCCGTTAAATTAGGAATGTAACGCGGAACGTGCAGCCGTTTAACAATCCCCGAGGGAATTTACGATTCTTAATTTCTTCTTCTTTATACGCTCGTATCTCACGAATTCAGGTTGCAACACTACGGCCAATATAATTGAATTTGGCTGGCGTAACTCGCACTCAACGCGGGATACCGAAACAGCGGGCAGAATCACGAGCAGGAACATCTGTTTGAAAAGCGTTTAAACTACTCGGAGCAGGAGGTCGTGTATCGTGTTCGAAACGAAATCGAGTCGATAAGCCGTGACGTGATCGCAAATGCGGATATGATTTCGCGAAAGTGCTCGGTATTGGGAATGGGTGAAACACAACCAGCTCCAAAAATGGCACAACGTGTGTTCGTATGCAACGGTTAAATGTACACAGGGAGAAAGAGAGAGAGAGAGAGAGAGAGCCGCAAAAAGGCCTTTGCGAATCGCGAGAGGCACGATCGAGATATCGTATCGGTCTGGCATTCCGAGTGAATATTAGCGTAATGAGCTGATAGCCAGTGATAGGAGATTTCAACCTGGCGATCGTCACGTTCGTACGATCCGCCGATCAAAAGCATCGCGACGACTAATCGACAGTGTGCCGTCGACGTACGCGCGTGGATATGAATAATCTCGGTCGCGGCTTCAAACAATACAACGAAAGCCCCACCGCGTGGTATCTCTGTCGTTTTGCGTTCGCGAGCGAACCATATCGCTCGAGTTCTTTTGTCGCGATCGCGGTAGCCTCGTTGAAAAAATCTGATCATCTACCACGGTCCCGTTCTAATTACGCGAATCGTTGCCCTGCGATCTACGGGATCTTTCGGGACCGGCATTGTTCGGCCTTTAATCGCGTACTGGTTCACTGGTTCGAGAGTTCGTGTACGTTCTTTTTATCGCGAAGATAGGGCGATCGTTTAAGTATCGATGATTTCGCTAATAGCGATTTTTTATTTGTAATTTATTTGGCTGGATGATCGCAAGGTTGCTCGATGTGTTCTTTATTCTCTAAGATGCTACTCGTAACAAACGATGGCTCGTTATCAGATTTTATTGCAAGATTCGTCATCTCCATACTATGGCGTTCTTTCGATGTTCGTGTGTAATGTAACGCGTGAGAGTGGAGGCTAGAAAAGATGTAGAAGTTACGCGGATCAAGAATATCTCGAATCGAGTAACATTAAATTCGAAACGAGACTTTCGAAGATTAAATCACCCACTTATAAAACATATGAATGATGTAATTCCAGTAATTCGTATCATTTCCAGAAAGACACAATTCTATTTCAGATATATCGCGTGTCTATTATACGCGTATATCGTACGATATAATTCTATCGATCTATGTCGTTATCGGAAAGCCGCAAATCTATTTCTCAATCTCCTCGCGTTTCTCTCACAAATTCTTCGTTTCTTATTGTCAGCGGACAAGGGAGAGCGAGAGATAGATGGAGGTCCGTTTTATTCCACGTCGCGTGTATATAGCAAAGTTTGCGTAGCATTCCAGTAGACGCGGTTCCCTGTCCTATTACCGTTGTCTCTGGCCTCCTGGCGGCGGTTTTAGGGCCCCGATACCAGGCAGATTAGCCTCGCTACGAAGCGTCTGCGTTTTCTCAAGTCTTGAGATAAAGCGGACAGTCAGGAGCAAGGGTAGCTGGTGCCCGGCTCGTCTCTCGCCT